AGGACGAGGTGTCGTTGAAAAAACTACTGAATGATGCAGTGAGACCTCCTGTATACAGCATTTAGGAATTTCGCGCAGTTAACCACATCAAAGAGAAAACGGTTTTTCTTGACGCATTGAAAGCTAATAGCGTATGATAATGACGGAAGCATCCCTTCGGATACAAACATTTTTTATGACACTTCAACTTGTTTTTTTTTTAGTCTATAGTTCTAATATAGTCTGTGGTCATTTGACATATACATAAATTCGTCATATTAATATATATAAATACTTTTTAAAGGATATATGAGTGATGTGTTTTAATATAAGGAAGCATCCCTTCGGATACAAACATTTTTTATGACACTTCAACTTGTTTTTTTTTAGTCTGTGGTTCTAATATAGTCTGTGGTCATTTGACATATACATAAATACGTCATATTAATATATAAAAATACTTTTTTAAATTATATCAGTGTTGTGTTTTAATATAAGTATTATTTTATAAGTCGCCTGTCGTTGTAAACAACATAGCGTGTAAAGTAAGGGAAGCTGATAATAATGCAGTGAGCGGGCGTAGGTTGTAGCAACATCCCGCGGGAAACTATCGTTGTATAGCAACTAATTTATTGGTTTTATATATAGCTTACATTTTGATATAAAAATCCGGAGAATTCTGGTTTTGAATGGTTATACTAATAAAATAATTTAGTTTCTCATACTTTTATGTAACTATAAGGAGATTTTAATGCAGATTACACAAAGAATTGATGTATCTGATTATGTTACAATATCTTTATCTGTGAACAAAGTTGCGGAAAAGTAACTACAATATATGTATGATTAAATCCTATAACTAAATAATAACAAATAAAAGAAGCAATTGACTTTATAAGGTAATTTGATCTATAATTAAAACTGCAATATTAAATTTTTTATAAAGATATATAAGTTAGAAACGGCTCAAAGTTATCCCGTAAAGAGTAAACATAGACATTTTCAGAGCGAGCCTCTGAGGCGCGGTTATATTCATAAGTAATCACAAATAACAGTACACCTTTAAACAGACGCCATAACACCATAAATGTTATTTAATAAACCTTTCAAATGCACATATAAAGTTATTGCACTCGATACTTTCCGTGTACGCAATTTTTTATGAATTTCAATAGGATATCAAGTTGACAATGTTATTTTTTTTTTCCGCTCATAAGGAAGACTTTAGTAGGATATATTGTACCGCATTCTCAATTTGTGGAAAATTGTTTCCATCTGGTTTCTATTCAATTCATTATTCATTAAGTGAATCTCGATGCGGGTGGTAGAAGTGAGCATATCGCGATTAGCAAAAAATAAACTGTCCGATTCATCCACATATAGAAGCAAGCTATCAGATGTTTTTTTTTCATTTATACGACTGCATTTATAAGTATATCATAGATATAGCAATTCTACTGTTATTTTTTCGCTATTTGCAATATACGTATTAAAGATAATTCTGTTTTAAGCTACGTGAAGTGTTACGAAGTTTTTTAACTACAGTTCAGTATAATATTATTTGGTTATGTTTGTATATAGAAAACAAAGCGTCTACTTTAAAATCGGCCAGCGGTTCAGACCAGTGGGACAGTTTTTACACGCGGTCCGGAGTCCTGTTCACGCCGGCGGTATGACATTAAGTGAAATTACAATCCAATGGAATGAGCTGAACTTGTTTTTGTGAGACAAAAGTCCGGATTATTGTTAAATCAGGTGCCAAAATCAGAATGTTCCCCGTTTCACTGGACGTATGGAGCCGGTCGTTTGGTGCTATTGTTATTTAAATAGCACACTATCAATGTATGATAGATGGCAATGCGAGTGGAGTGTCGTCGCCTTTAGTGAGGGGGCTATCACAAAGCAGATAAAAACGTAAACCGCTTATTGCTTTTATTATGTAGGTATGGTATCACGTGACGCTATTAGGGTAGCGAGTGATTGGTATGTTCGTATCTGTAAATAGATACATATGACTGTGTGTGTGTATGTGTCTGTGTGTGTGTGTGTGTGTAGGGTGAAGGTACTGGTCATGTAGCCCCGCCCTCGTAGTTGTTCCCATGCTATTACTTCTATTATTTCCATGAGATAATAATCAAACATGCCTCCATCGTCAATTTGGAAAAGATCTTTTTTTTTCGTAATGAAAGTTAATATTCGTTACAGAATATGTTAAATTAATTACAACATATTTTTCTTGTAATGTAATATGTATTCGCATATTATTGATATTTAAGTTTTGTTTATCAAAAAGAAAAATACAGCCCAGTCATACAATATTGCAGAGAATCACTGCAACTTAATAAAATATGTAATTTAATGGCACGCACACACGTATACATACACACACACATAAAAACACACACACACGCATTCATGTGCTTTCTAGTGTTTGTTGTATTTACTTTTTATACAATTTATCAATCCGGCAGATGGCCACTCATATGAACACCTTTAAAAATTCACCCGACTATTTTAGGGTTACAACATTATCATATGTGAGGATAAAATGGCTGCCTATTGTGAATATATTTCTATTAATAAAGTAACGCAACATTTTGTTTAATATCCGCTAAGTTAAAATCTTTTTAATTACTATTTTAAATTTAAAATTATTAATTAACTTTTGACTATAGCGTTTATGTTTGGGTAACGTTCCGTTTCTTGTTCTATTCATTAAAAAAAACTAAAACATATATAAACTTTTTTGTAAATTAATTAAAACCGGATCAACAAATGAATGATAATATAATTCAGTTCTCATATGTTTCAGCACTGCACTCGACGTCTAATACTGGTTGGGGTGGGGTTTTATTGTTTGCAAAATATTTTGAAAGCGTAATTTTATACGGCGTATTAGTCGCTGCGTTTGATGGGGTCCACAGATCATTAACCTATTGTTGGTACCCTTCATAAACTAGTCTCATTCCGGACTGTAACTTTAAATAAGTTGTGACTATACGAGTGTAGTCGCGGACTTATGAACTGGAATCGGTACAATGTAATATATATTATAGAATAAACAATACATAATGGTTCATAATAATATGAATTTCCTTATATTATTAAGATTTGTGAAACAAATAAGTATTAATTATATGGAATTGCCAAAATGAAGTCATACGTGTGGGCGTCGCGTCCCCAGCGGCCTAAATGCCGGAGGCTGTATTTTACTTGTTATTTTAAACTATCCTAATGAGCTGTTAATTAATTTATGTATTTTTTTTTGTTTTTTGACACTCTTCACGTTCCGCATACTAAGCTAATTCGCTGAGTAGTCAATTATAGTTTAATGAATTACTTTCAAATTAACAAAAATATCCATATACTCTCCTCTTATGCGACATGAAAGGAATATCTACATATATTGCTCAATATTGTAACGACAGCAACATAAAATGATTCCCACATACCTTTCTTTACGTGGTCGGTTAAAGCATCCAAAGCTTGATGCGCGTGCGCATGTTATTCGATGGTAACTAAAAACCCTTCTCGCGTCCATAGTTAACAAATATGAAGATGTGAATCGCGTTAACAAATTGATATGTTACAAAGGAGATATAGCAAATAAATTGTGCTACTGACTCCAAAAACGTGGTGTCAGGTTACTCAAGAAACGTGTTTATAAAAATATCGATTACAAACAACGAACATCTCCAGCAACCGAACGTTCATAATAAGTGATTGACTTCTGAAGTAATAGAAGATATAATATTAATAATGAAACAGAAGCTTTAAGAATTTTTATGAATTAGAAATCTCGGTTATCATTTCGATAACTAATATAAAATTACTAAATAAAGAACTAGAATTATAACATCTACCAAAGTGTTGCTTCGATTGAATGATTGAAATAATCCTCTTCGTTATTTCTTTTCTTTTCTATTCGACACCATATTCTACACAATTACAACTTATTAACTGATGAAACTGGGTGGCCTCAAGTTATAAATATCTATTTAAGAACTCATCCTGGCAACTCAGATATTTGCACTCAAAATTTTTAATTTATAATACCATCCAAATTCATTTTGGTTTAACGGACCTACGAAGTAATTTATAGGCACCCATAAAACAATTCTTCAAACTTACCCACAAAAAGCAAGCTCTATTCACTATACGGTATGAGATAATAGTTGACGGGGGCACAGGACAAAAGTTTGAACGCAACACTAAACAATGACCAAAAAAAAACGTATAATAGCAGATGTCCATACACGTCGCCAAAGAATTCCTGGACCAATCTCCAAAGATATTTCAAAGTTACGTTGAAATACTTATTCTATGGTGTGCGAGAGAGACGGTATTGAGGAAGCGAGCCAACGGAACTGGACATTTTAATTTATGGCACATTTTTTTTTATATTCCATAGCACACAATACCAATGAATCTTTCCACTAATAATAAATTGAAAATGGAGTTCTGTCGAATGACTTTTGTCTATGTTCCATACCGAGAAACGGACGCACAAGGAGACAGTCGTTATTATGAGGCGCCCGATCATTTTGTTTGTGCTTGAAATGTGACAAAGATTTTTTGATGGATAGTTGGTGTTTAATGTGTTATTGTATTGGTCCAGTTGTTTAGGCGTGCTCAATATACGAACGAGCATCTGTGAAGCATCGACGAGCAGAAAACAGCCGCGGGGGGTCGTACATTATGAATTAATGAGAAATGAAATGTTTCGCTAAATAAACGATTTCTATTTTGTAGGTGACGTCATCACGTCAAGGATTGATTTCATACTTAATAAAAAAGTAGGTGCGGAATTTCGAAGATTTTAAAATAAGAGCCAAGATTTTAAAATAACCCACTAACTATAATACGAAAATATTCATATAATATTTAATTCGAAAATGTGAAATATTCCAGACTAATAATTCTTATATGTATTTTGTGATATTAAGTTGAGTAACCTACTATTATATTAGTCATGAACAAAGATATATTTCTCTATGCAAATTAAATGAAAAAGTAATTACCTGTATGAGTTCTCTTGTGTATCTTCAGATTTTCCGATCTTGCAAACACTTTGCCACAGCCGGGGAAAGGACAAGGGAACGGCTTCTCGCCGGTGTGTACGCGGATATGATTCACTAGCTTGTACTTCGCCTTAAACGGCCTCCCATTCCTCGAGCATCCTTGCCAGAAGCAGGCATGCGTCGTACACTCAGGTCCACCCACATGCTCTACAGTCAAATGCGTCACAATCTCATGCATACTTGAGAACAGTTTGTTGCATAATTTCCTAGGCGGTGGCTGCTCGGGATCTAGCCATTGACACCGCATGTCTCGTCGTGGTGGTGCTCGAACGTACCGCAGGAAGGCATGAGGGGCGTGAGGGTGTGAGTGCGGTACTAGAGGTGGTGCCCCACTCTGATAGTGAACATCTCCTCGCCAGTCCCAGCTCTGCTCCAGCGGCTGTTGAGGGAACAGTTCGCCGCAGCCGCTGTATTCTCTGAGGTAACCGGGTTGGTAGGAGTGTAGAGGGTATGGTTGGTAGTGAGGCGGATGATGAGGTGGCGGATGCGGGGCTGCCGCTCGGTGCTGCGGACCGCCGCAGCCCGGCTGCGGGGACATCTTCAGTCCATAGGAGGCGAGGTGTGCGTGGTTGGTCTCGAGGAAGGCATTCATGGCGGGGGTGGCCGGCACCGGCGCATAGCCCCATTCGCCCGCCACCATCCACGCAGCGGGATAAACCCGCTAATTATTCGTCGATAAAACTATCGGTCACTTAGACCTTGCTGTGTTAATGTTTCTGTTTGACTCAAATAAATCTCCTCTCACATCTTCCTATCCGATCGGACCTGAAAATAAAATAATTGAATACATTATTGTGCTGATTCATATAAAGCTAATATACTGAACCAAAGTAAATGATTTCCCTACAACGTTACAGTAAAATTTGAATCCAATATGAAGGCGTACGACTGTAACCTCTCAGGACAAATTTAAAGTCATTTTTCAAAATAATAATACGCGTTCGAGCATCCATAACCGGCATCGAACATGTATTTATAATAAAAAAAAATGTGAGACAGGCAGTTTTGGACATTAAATTAAACTGTGGGTAAATTTATAGGACACTTTTATACGCCTGAGACAAAAATTCCAATTGTGCTCGTGTATATTTAATTTTAGTTTATTTGTTAGTTGGGCTCCAATCTCTTTTATTACCGTGGTTTAGCAGCGATGGTTTATTAAAATAGTTTTATGAATGATCAAACCAGTTCCATGACCATAACAGACATTGGAACATCATATTTTAAGACTCTATTTTTCTTCTCGACGAAATAACTTATTTAATTTATAATATCATAATAACTCTATCGATTTATAACTCTTGACGGGGGAAGGAGAATTTTAATTATTCATTGCATATTAATTGCTCAGTATGGTATTGAACTCATGAACTACCATATATGTACATGCTTGCATTGTGTTCTCGATATAGGATTATCTTATTATTAAGTTAAAACAAAGAGTAAACAAAGAGTAAAGTGAGAAAAACTGTAAATATCATTATAACAATTGTTTGATCCAAACAGCCAATATCCGAAACCGTTTCGACCGTTATGGTCGTAAATCACTAAAAATCAGTTAAAGCCAATACATAATGAGATAATCGCATTAAATTAAACAACATTGTTTGTGTATTATCCCGGACACTTCATACACGAAGGTTCTACCTGGTTTAGACATTGTCATACTGATACGAATCTAATCTTTATTATCTAAAACCCCGCGGGGTTCGTCCGTCACAAAGCAACGGGTTGACAGCAACCTTGGTTTACAAAGATTTTGACGTTTCATAAAACATAAGTCCTCCCACGTCGCCAAATGAGATTTGCCAGCTGTTTGGCTATAGTTTTAAATAATAAACTTTAATCATATTAAATGAATACTGTAATTCGATTACATTATATGCGCCGGTTGGTTAAATCTTTAAGATCTTTAAGCGCTTTATTCGATGTTTTGTAAGAATGTCCCGTGTTTAATGTATGTAATCATTTTAAAGTCTTTACATAATGATCATGTGAAAGAATCTTATGTTATTGTGATACATTTTCTACTAAAGATTCTGTTTATGAATGAGCTTTATCTATTTGTATATTTCTGTATAATATATTAATTTATTATATATCCTATACATGAGTTAATAATTCCTAATTCGGTTTATATATACATATTATAATCCTTTCCATGAATGGCTGATTTTTATGAAGATTTGAACTATCATTCTATTCTAAAATATATTTATTTCAGAAGAGAATGATAATTATTTTTATAATAATTGTTATCACACATAAATAATAAATAAATTTATTGATAACAATACATAAATATTTTTCAAATAATTCATATATTTTTTATAAACAGATAAATTAAACTTAATAATATCGTAATGATTTTATATAGTTAACAGTTAAAGTAGATTTCGGAAAACACAAAGCTTTCAAATGCCGTCGGATAAAATAACATTACGGTTTGAGTTCACGAAATACTGAAATATATGTGAAGTAAAATATACTTAAAGAAATTATCATTTACACCATCGTACCAAAGAAATAAATGATAAGATATAATAAATATATTTAATTAAATAACAAAAAGATACAAAATATATATACAATATTCACCACTAATATGTATATGAAAATATTCTTTAATGTAATATGCATATAAAATATAGACATATGCATATAAAATATAATTAAAAATATTTGTAGCTTATAAAATAATTATTACATTATTTGGAGTTTTCTTTTCCATCTTCACACTTACAGTGGTCTAGAGAAATATATGTTTTGTCATATTTACATATTATAGTCTCAAATATATTGTGATATTAGAGTATTATTATTACAATAATATTTAATATTAATATATATTATAATATTGTTTATTCTATAATGAATAATTGTGTTCAAGGTTTTCTGACACGGAATTATTGTGAATTAAAAATGTATTTTATGTCAGAAAGCTTTTTATAAGTACAATGAAGGATAATACGATTTTTATAATCGTGTCAATTATGACTGAATAAGGTTAATAATTTAAATCAGTGTTTGAAGTTGCGAAATATATTTTTCTTGAAAACTCATATATGTATATTATATTAACGTTAATATGTATAAAACAAATGCTGTATAGAATATACCTACTCAGAAGTAAAAAGTATTATTTTCAAGCGATACTATCGTATCGTATCGTTTAAATTATACTTAATATAAATCTGTCGTATAAATAAATAAGACTCATACCTCTTACAAAAAAAAATCCAGTCCAGCGAAAAATTTACTAAAAATATAGCACATGTACTAAGTTTTATATAACACGAAAAATAATCACTTCACAGAACGGAATCTAATTAAAAATATAATATGAATATCCTCATATATATGTATATCACAGGTGATGGCGCGTCGTTATAAAGTTTGTTTGATAACACCAGCTCTATACTTCCTTCTGGACAACATCGGTTCAATAAACGACGATTTTTTTTTGGTACGATATACGCGACGTGTGGCCACCGACTTCGCTGAGTCTCTCAGCATGACTGCGGGCACCCGCTACTCCCCTCGCCATAGCCGACATGCTTCTTAGGAAATATTTTGGTACAAGGGGACCGAAGGCGCCAACGCAGCCCCGACAGGGCGGTACGAAGAACCTCTCGCCCAATGATGTAAGCTTTGAGATGAAACCGGCGAACTATATCCGACTCACTCGCCCCAATCGGCGTTAAGGCCACTTAACAGAAAAAGCTATAAGACGTATCGAGAAAACCTTAGTATCGTAAAGTGTTCCTTTTATCTGATTTACGTTAAAAGCCTCGCTGTTAGCTAGGAGGGCATTACATCTGTTTATTCTTTCGCTCTTACGTGTTTATTGTGTGTAAGACAAGGATGCGTGATGGCGGGAAATGTTACAACTAATGTATTTTCCTGTGGGTAGGAAAACACATGTCGCCGCTTTTAATTTAATACGCATCACGCTGTGTTCCCGTGTAGCGATCCCAAATACAACACTGCTATTATAAGCAACTATGGAATTAAAAATTTTGATTCATAATAATATATTTTTTATTATTTTTATATTATATCAATTAAAAAACTATTTTTATATTACTTTTATATGTAATATGATAAGCGTTTATGATTTTTATATATATAAATATGGAAAATGTCTGCCTTATATTTGGGTATACGTAAGTATTTAATGAGTAAGATGTTAAATTAATTACATCTTTATACAGAATAATATATTTTTTTATAATTGCCCATTAAAATTCAAGACGACATATATGTAGCTGAATTGGCATAAAATAATTGTCGCAATTAATTTGATGATGATTTTGTTATAAAAAGTTGCATTCCACGTGCGTCGAGGCACGCCTCCCAAGAACGTTGCATGATTGGCTGCGTACTTCAGACGAATGCACCAACGCATCGCAAAACTTGAACCAAAAAAAAAAACGATGCAAACAACAAATTACATTTAATCACAATAAAAATATGCTAATCAAATCGGTTGCTTATAAATTTTGTTTGTACCAAAACTGAAACACGTAGAGATATTAATTTAAAATGCTATATAAAGTTCTGTATCGATATTTTTAACGTCGCATACTATCTTTCGTTTCTGTAACCGTTTGATAGCAGGAGACTGTTTGATTAATCTAATATATTTATGTACAATGACTACCCTCACGCAATGTTCTGAGCTGGTTTTCAGTTTTTATCAATCATGCATGAGCTATAGTTTTTGCTGACTGGTTCTTGGATGCGACCATTGTTAAATCTCTTCATGAAGGTAAAAAATATACTGAATGACATAACAGTGCGTCCCCCGAGGTTAAAACGCTTAAAGTCAATTAATGGCGCATGCGGTCGCACTTTTACGTAAAAAAATGTTTCAGAATTAGCTGAGGACGGAATACTTTATCGAGAAAAAGCATTCGATGTGGTATATTCACCACCATCAATGGACTGTATGGGCATGTTTTAACATTTACTGTTCATTTGTTTTTTTGAGTCTCAAGGTCTTAAGTTACTGACCACTAGTGACGTACTGAAAATAAAAGGTTATTTTCCTTGTGGATCTTTTATAGATATTTTTTTTATTTATTCTAAAAGTTTTTATGATTTTTTATACATAGATTAAGTTAAATTTATTTAAGAAAGATATACTTCCAAATTAAAATAAAAACTTAAAGTGTAATCAATTATTGTATCAAAATCACGAGCATCTAAACAAAGAGAGTTAATATAGTTAAGATCCAAAACTCTATTTTGGGAACCCGTAATGTCGAATATATGTACATTTAAGCGATGCGTCCCATCACTAGTTCTGTAACTGTGCCCCCTTTAAATTTCAAACGCATGTAAATGTTAAATTTACATTTATATAAAAAAATAAGCTTAAACTTATATAAATTCGGAAAGAAAAAAAATGTTAAATCAAACGAATAGGGTTAAGTAAAAAGTTCTTAAATAATTCTTATTTACATCCAAATATCCCCATTTTAGTGTCCGCTAATAATAAATAATTTTTCATCACGGCATACATTAGGCTCCCTTTGCTATATTTCATTAAACCAAATAACATTATTATGTTCCGTGTTTTTCGAGTGATGCCTACAAATTATATCGGACAAAGACACCGCAGGACACCGCTCTAAC